TTATTAGAGCATAAGCTTTCGTGGGCTACAACCCACTTCTTCGGATGTGGGTTGTAGCCCACGAAAGCTTATGCTCTAATAAATTTGTTAGTCTCTAAGGTGCCACAAGTACTCCTGTTCTTTTTGTGGATACAGACTAACACGGCTGCTACTCTGATACTTGAAAATTGCTGAGGGTCTCAGCGACCACTTAATAATCTTTCCAAATGTTGTTTGTACTGTTAGCTAACTACTGAAAGCACTTTGGATAAAAATGCTATATAAAAAAACCCCTTAATAATTAACATTTTTTGTTCTACAAATAAAAGCACACAACTCATATTTTAATATCCGTAGTCTTACCTTTCTAATGCGATGGATGTGCCCTCTCTCCCCCGCTGCAGCAGCTGGGGCTGGGAAGAAAGGGGGGGGGGGTATCTCCCTCTTCCTCTCCACCACAGCAGCCACAGAGTTAAGGCTGGGAAGGAGGGCCATCTCTCTCCCCGGAAGCCGCAGCCCTGGAGCTGGGGAAAGTCACCTCTTTCTCTGGTTGCTGCAGCCCCGCACATCCCAAATTCCCCCCACCCCCTCTTCTCACCCCACTGCCCCTCCCACCTACCTCCTATTCCCCACAAGGCTACCACCTCACCTTACATGTGCATCTTCTCCAGGGTCCAGGCACCTAATTAATGGAGCCATGCCCACACAGCTCCACTAATTAGGTGGGTGGCCCTTCATTCTCTCATGTGCGGTCGCCTAGGTGTGCACTTTAGAGGGAACGGTCCGCAGAACACCTGAATGGAGCACACGGACCACTGGTGGTCCGCAGACCACAGTTTGAGAACCTCTGTTCTACAGTAATTACAATGGGAACACTGTTTCAAACTAGAATTACTGGTCTCCTATGGGGAAGAATAGAGCAGAAATCCTGAGATACTCTGAATTTGTATTCTTGCATGAAGGTAAAGATGCTGCTATCAATATCTGTCTGAGCAGTATCAGTTATTTCTCTCTCTCTCGCTCTCTCCCCCCTCCCCCCCACAGAGGTAATTTAGTATCTGTCTACCTGTTTTATCTCTCACCCAATTTGTCTGTCTATTTTATCAAATCTATCTAATGTATCTATATCTATCTAGGTACTGATATGCCTCCCTCACTATACTATCTGAGTGTCTAGCTATAGTTTAGTTACTAACTCTATTGCCCATTTGACATTAACCATAAATTCTGTCCTTCTTCCCTCGAATCCTCACCTTCACTGTTCAGTATCATTAAATAAGATCTAATATTTGAGCTTTTGCCAATGGAGAGGGGCAAAGTTTTGGCCTAGATTCTTTTTTTTAATTTGTATCATTGGTGCTGTTAACTTCTCATTAAAGCTGGATCAAAAGAGATGTCTCTTCTATAACCACTAACTTACATTTTAAGAAAGCAATTAGATGTCATGAATTAGTTAGTGTTTGTAACACCCTTTGAATACCTGAAGCATTAGAGAACTCTTTCTTCTGGGTTATGATAGGAGCCATGTCAGTCTCTTATCATTTGTGCCTGGAAGTGGAGAAAAAAGGAAAGAGCTATGAGGAGGGTTGTGAGGACTCTCTGAAATGTCACTGCTACTGTTTAGGCCATGGGAAATCAGTGTAGTGTTTCTCCTTACCACAGATGTCATTTTGCTTGGCATAACCAATTTTTGTCTTTTCAGATTCTTCACAGCCAAATTTCCTACATCGAGAAACAGGCCACAACTGTTACTGGCTGCCCTTTGCTGATTCGCTGCAAGAACTTCCAGATCATCCAGCTTATCATTCCTCAGGAAAGAGATTGCCATGATGTTTACATATCTTTAATACGTCTGGCACGGCCAGGTATGCAAGGGGAGCGCAGAACTAGATGTTAATGCTTGTAAGCAATTAGCCTGATTGAATGCCCTTTGACAGGAGCTGAGGTTGTTAATGGACTATTGCCTGCTGGTGAGATGATGTCAGCATCTTTTTCAAACATCAGGGCAAGGGCAGTTTTGTTTGTAATCTGCCTGGAGAGTCTCCCCTCACTCCACCAGCAACACTCATACAAGAGGCAGCCATCATGTGGCAGTAAATGCTAGTGAGCACACATAGTGGGACAGCTAATGCCATCAGTAGAACAAACAAAGCCCAGGGACATGTCTAGGTAGAGGTCACTAGCATGCACTGGCTGGCAGGGTGGATTTGATTTAAATCATGATTTAAATCACTAGTCAGGAAGACTTGATTTAATCATAGATTTCTACATAAAAGTGCATTCTTATTGTTATAACAATACATATTCTTCACAACTCAGAGATAGATGTAGGTTTCATTTTTAGAAGGTTCACACTATCATTTTTAAAGTGATTTAGTTTGAAAACTTTTCAGATTAGTTTTACAGCTATATCAGAAAATGAATGATTGTTTGGTTATTTCATTTACCAAAGGTAATTGAAGCAGATATTTATGAAGTAATTGGGAGGTGAACTATCTCCAATTCAACAGGTTAATCATTAATATTTGGAGGATTTTCTTGCTGTATTAGGAGGAGAACTTCACCAGACAGACATTTACATTGTTTTATTTAACTAAAACAACAACGTTATGTATTCTGGATTTTTTTCTTCAACAGCAAACATAATATTTTAACAAAACAAGCATACGAATTTTTGAATTTAGTTAAACATTCAAGTTTTTTAAAATCAGGTTTGTTTTTGTTAAAATTGTTAACTAAAATAGTTAAATGAAATATTAAAAAAAACAAACAAAGTAAATCAACTATCAGCCAGGTCAACATGAGAAACTTAAAATATTGGCTTGAGCAACTAACTCAGTTGTCTTCACCTTCTTTTTCCTGTTTGTTCATAATCTGGAAAAGAAAAACAAACTTTCCTGCTTTTTCAGGTCCCAGACGATTTCTCAATTTGGAATGAACTAGTCCAAAGGAAGAAAATATTCTTTCTACACCAGCAGAAGAAGCTACTGCTGTTAAAAGTGAGATTATCACTTCAACAGTCTCTGAATCCAAGTGCTTAAGTGATTTCCACCAGTTCACTGGTGTGACTTTCTTTAAAACATCAGCAAACATATATTTCTTGAATGGTTCACCCTTATCTCTGAAGTTTATTATAGTTGTCATTATGGAGGGATGATTGCCGGATGTCCATGTCATAGCCAACTCCTCCTCTTCAGCAGTTAAGGTTTGACCCTGGTACCAAGTATTGAGAATATTTGCAAGAAAATGAGCTGGAGATAGTGCTTGTCCCATTTTTTTAATGCTTGTAATTTAACTCTGTTATTGCATATTTCGCTTTTTAAGATCTCACTTAATTCCTTCCAAATTTCAACAGCGTCAGGAATAAAACAGCTATTTCCCTGCATTTCATTCAAGGCTACAGAAATAGGCTTTTGTGTACTCAGCATGTGGTCAACATTTCTCTGAAGCCCAATACTGAGAACTTTAGCTGTGACAGCGCCATCTATTTTTTCACAATTTTGTTCACAAACTGTCATCAGATTAGGTCAGTTCTTGCTATAGTGCTCAAAACAGTCCACTACTTTGAGTTCCATCGCACGTCTTGTGGGAGAATTAGCTTGGTTCCTCCCACTTTTTTTTCAGAGCGGCTGCTGCAAAGTGGTTCTTACGGAAACATTTGCAATTTCAACAACATTAGCCTTTATTTCTGGAACACTGAAGTCTTTGGCTAGGAGGTGCATCAAATGAGCACTGCAACCGTATGTTAATAGCTTGGGACTCTCTTCTAAGTAATTTCTTCTCATCTTGGATACATTTTCAGCATTGTCTGTGACCAAGCTGCGTACTAGACATTAGAATTTTTTTCAGTTTGTTATAGCTTTTACTGTAAGTATTCTGCTGTGTGTGCATTTCCTGATGTATCATTTGTTTCTGTAAGGAAGACATTTTCTTATGTTGTCACACAAGCACATACAACAGAATCATTGTGGACATTGCTCCACCCATTAAGACTCAGGTTAACAATTTTACCCTCTACACCTTTTGCACACTACTCAATTTCTTTTTCACACACTTTATCCAGCAATTTGCCTGCGACATCTGCTCTGTTGGGTGGACTGTATCCTGGTCTTAATGACTGAACTATGTTAATGAAGTGTGGGTTCTCAATCATACGGAAAGGAGAGTTTGTTGCATAAACAAACCGGGCAATCTTTTCATCAATTACCTCTTTTTGTAATCTGCTGGTTCTCATCACAAACTTATATATGGTTGTTTCTGGGTGATGGAGATTTTTTTTCTTTTTGCTACAGGTGATATACTGTGGCTATGTGACATACATGATGTGACTAAAACATTATCATTGGCAGATAACTCTGAAACTATAGAAAATGATGGTGATCTTGAAGGTGGGATCTTCAGAATCCTGTCTGTTGAGGAGGGATTCTCCTAAACAAAATAAGTCAATGCAGTTATTTAATTATTACCACCATACTGCTCATTTAGTATTACTCATTGCATTCACTGACAGTACTACTTTAAAGGTGAAATTGTAAAAGGAAGATCTGCCTATTTCAGCTATTTATTTTTTATCACAACTGCATCTAAAATGATAGTACCATAGAGTAACAACTATATTTTTTGCTCAAACATGAGAATTCAAGAATAGTCCAGAAGGAAGACAGGCAGTCCTTAAGAAAGAACTATGAAATAAAGAAGTTTATCAACCTGAAGATCCTGCATGTTCAGACATGTTCCTTTCATCATCTTCAACGCAGCTTCCTCCTGAGAAGGAACACTTCTCATGATGTTGTTTCATTCGGGCGACCAGGCCTTGCATTTCTTTGTTGCACTGTTTGCATTTTGCACGCATGCCTGTCTTACCCACAAGTAGAGGCACTTCATTAAAATATTCCCAAACTGGGTCTCTTTTACAGCCTGCTGCCATTATAGGTTTTCCCTTCTAGTGAGAGAATGGTATGGTAGTTCTCAAATCAATGAAGGCTACACTCAGAAAGACCTCAAGACTTCTGGAATATGCTGCTCAAACAGTTTCACTTCTGTTTCTACTGCCTGTCCCTCCCTTCTCACATTTATCTCCAGACTTTCTCTCCTTGTCCAGATCTATTCCAGCCCCACAATCTTCTGTTCATTGAACTTTTTGAAACCTCGCACTTTTAGAGAGAGGTAAGGGATTGACTCTGTGTACACAAATTTGCAGAGGGACAATAGGGTTGAGGTCTGTTATTTCTCACCTCTCTATATATTTATTTAACAGCAAAAATGTTTTTAAATAAACAAGCATGTATCTCTGGATACACAAATCCAGTTTGCGAACTGTAAAACTAAGCATCTCTGATGGTATCTTCTAGACTGAGCCTCATTGAGTAAATAGAAAGATTAACCTAAATCTATAAAGAAGCCCCTGGAACCACATAAGATTGGGTCTCTAATCCATGAACTATTGGAAATCATTTACAAAACTTTTCTTTAATATATAGTCTCATACTATAGAATTAGAATTTATAATCCCTATTCCATGATGAGACATTATAGCTCAAAGATATCTTAATTAAAACTATCTTTAGATATCAAAATGCATTTTATCCCAAAAATCAGATTTTTGATTTTTTTTTTTTTTAAATCATTGATTCTTATCCACCCTGCTGGCTGGGGAGCATGGGGCTGATGGCAGGCTACCGCTTACGGAAAGCCCCAAATAACTTAACAGAGTTATAACCTTTCCACACGGTTTTGAAATGTGGCTGAACCTCACTGAAGCCAACCACAAAAAGCTTGAACACCCATGATCATGCTGTGAACAAGTGTACAGTTTCCTGTGAATGTTATCCCATTCTGTGCCTCAGATGCCTTTATCTAGCTTAAATGGCAAAGCCTGGAAGAGATTTTCTGCCTTTTCCCCCCAGTTCATTCTGCCAGTGGTACTAGTCTAAATTGTTTCTTGCTGTGTGCAGATTTGCAAATGACAGCAAGGGGGAAATGAACCTTTCCCTGCTTCACACCTGCTCAGGATCCAACCACAGTGTAGCTGAGGAGTGCAGAAAAAAACCTGACCTTTTGTGTGTAATATTACTGTTCTCATATCATAGCTGCAATATACGAAACAGCCTCTTTTTTTCTGTATTTAAATTTCTGGGAAAATGTTAAAGGAAGGAAAAATGAAATTTAATAGCCTTGTCTGTACTTGCAATTTTACTTCTATTACATCTAGGGTAAATATGAGGGTACAATGATCCTGTTGTCTTATTCTTTCAAGATAAGTTTTATACTTAAACAATTAGTTTAACAGAATGAACTTAACTGAACTAGACATATTAGGAATAAATATTTACATCATGATAGCACCCATAAGCTCCAATTGTGCCCAGCGCTGTACAAACACAGAAAAAAAAGTCTGCCCTGAGGAGGATAGAAAATAATAGCTGTGTGTGCTTTGCAGTTTTAGGAGATATATTTCATCCAAATATACCATGTAGATTGTGTTATGGGGAAATAGGGCAATGAGCACAATGGGATATAATTAAAATAATGGTAAGTGCTGGCTGTACACAAAAAAATTGCTAAAAAGTGAAGAGTTTGTGTTAAGCTAAGTATCTCCTAAGGAAGTTTGAGAAAGATTTGGCTGTACAGCATCAGTGGTGTGACATTACTTTGTGAATAACACCTGCTTTAAGGATGTTTAATCAAGAGTTAAACTTGGGGGTCTTATTGAATGTGCTTTGAATGTATAACCTGCTCAGCGAACAGTTGTTGCTAAAAGGCTACACTATATCTTGCAGATATGTCAGATTTTGTTATGTTTTTTTCTTTCTACACTGAACACAGATTGCCAGGTATCAAAGAAAAGCTGCAGAGCAGGTGTTGTATAAAGAATATGCAGGTTGGCAGCTAGGTGATTTAGTCTACCAATGAATCTGTGTTTTGATCCACCTGTATCTGGATTTTGAACATGTTCAAATCTAGGACCTACTGTCAGTTTCAAAATACTGAATTCAACTGTGCAACCGAAGGTAATTTTGACCCTTTACCCTTAAAAGTGAGAATCCAAGTATTGTAGCAGATTCCAGCATCTCCTCCTGTGTTTGTGCTGTTAACTTAAGAATTAATTGGAAAGGATGCTGAATGCAGGCTGTTTTGATGCAAACAACCCAGTCTGAAGCATAAGGTCCAACTCTGTCTTTTAATGTTATTTTGAACTCTGTGTAAAGGAGACATTGCTATAGTTTGCACAAAACTGACAAGGTCAACGTTAATTTTCATCTTGCTACAAGACAGCTGGTTAGAGCTGGTTTTCTCTGATGTGTTAGAAAAAATTGCATAGCAAGCCACAGCAGCAGTTTAAGTTGGTAAAGTGCTTACTATAACTGGAATACCAGTGAAGGGAATATGTACACTGGAGTGCATGTATTTGAGTATGCTAGGTGATGTAGGGTGAAAGTAATTGGAGTGTGTTATGGAAACAATTAATCAATTTAAGCTCTTGGTTACGGTGATGTAAATCTGGGTTAACTCCACTGTCTTCAGGATCTCATCATGTTTTCATACAAGACTGGAAAAATGAGATCCTGTAATGCTCCTTCCTTCGAAGGGACAGAAGGTGTATATTAATACCCGTGGAGAGGTGGCTTTTGACCCTGGCATTGCAGTACTAAGGAATGCCCCAGTGAAGAACAAATGTAGCCAGGAATGCTTTTGAGAAGATGCCTGTTGGGCAGATCCATTGGTAGCATAGCAGAAGCAAGTTGAGCAGGACACATACGCGAATGAGGACAAACAAAAGAATGGATTTAAGTGGCAGGCCACAGCTCTATTAGTGTCCCTCCCCAGTATTAAGTTTATCTACCCCATCTCCCTCATTTAAGTGAGTCTAGTGTGGGATTTATAGGCCTTCTATCATATATCCATAACTCAGGGCAGACATTCCTCAGCCTTCACCTTGGATTTAGCTCAGTCTGCTGAAACCTCTCTCCCGTGAAGGAGAAAGTACCAAAGAGGGACCTCTGTCTGAAAAGGCTTAAGGTCTCTTTCGCCTTCTCCCACAGACCTAAGGTCTACAGTCAAATCCCAGGTCTTTTATTTCTGGGCAAAGGCCCTTTTGACCTTTTATTTGCACTGGGCACTGTCTGTAAGTTGTGTTGAATAAAATATTCTTACAAATTACTGAGATGAGACTTCTAAATCCTATTCCTATTGAACCTAACTGTCCTTCCATGATGCTGTCATGAAGCCAAAAAAAACCTACCAGGCTTCTGCCAATTTTTTCCTAATGGGGAAAAATATTTCCTGACCTTTAAAACAGGGAATTGGTCAGACCCACAGTATCCTAAAAACACAGTCCTTACATTATAACTACAGAAGGGGAGGTTGGGATCAACTAAAATGGAACAAGAGGCATGAAAAATCCTGGGCAAGGATTTAAATTAATGGGGAGAGGACAGGGAGTCAATTGGCTCCTATCTCCCTCTGGTTGGCCAATGGGTGGCAGTGCCTATGGGGATTAGAGGCCTACCCTTGCAAGGACTGCCCCTTCCCTTTCCTTCTGAGGCTATCCCGTGCTCTGTGGATCCAGTCACATTTTCCACCAGTTGAACCAGGTGGGTGGCATTGCTGCAGAGCAGCATCATGTTTTGCCTCTAGCAGTAAAGCATCTGCCATTGACACTGTGGGGGGGATGGGAATCTTACTCACCTGAAGTTAATAGGATTGATTGTAAAGTGAGCGGGATTTGGCCTACCAATACTGAGGGTTGCAACTTTTCTATCCCCTGTTTCTGTCTGCCAGAGTGCTGCACCCTCTTGAAGGGTAATATAATTGCTGTACAGTTGTGGACTGCTTGTCCTCCCGAGGAGGAACTCTGGCTGAGTCAGGTTCTATTTTCCCTCCCCCATTTGCCTTTTTCCCTGCATTATACCACACCTGAAACTGTAAGATCCCATCTTCTGTCGTGATATTGTGTAATGCATTGTAACAGTTTGTGACATAAGGTGGCCTAACCAGGGCTGGCTCCAGGGTTTTTGCCGCCCCAAGCGGCGGGGGAAAAAAAAAAAAAAAAAAGCCACGATCGGCGGCAGCTCAGCCATGTCGCTTTCTTCTTTGGTGGCAATTCGGCGGCAGGTCCTTCCCTCCGAGAGGGACTGAGGGACCCGCTGCCAAATTGCTGCCAAAGAGCCGGACGTGCTGCCCCTTCCCCTTGGCCGCCCCAAGCACCTGCTTGCTAAGCTGGTGCCTGGAGCCAGCCCTGGGCCTAACCAAACTAAAGGGTCCAATTCTACTTTCAGTTGTACCTGTCAACTTCCAATGGAGCATGCACAGGTACAACTGAAAGCAGAATTTGGCCCTTTAGCTTAAGCTACTTTGTGTCACAGTAACATTTGAAGTTGTACAACAGCAGAATTTGGCTCAATGACTATAATACTGTGTTTGTATCAGGCCCTAAATATTATAGAGGGTATATGTTAACTAAGCTTTAAGGCACAATTGATGCATTTGTAAAACCTTTATGTACCATCATATGATATTAAAACCTGAGATGATAGGCAGGCTAGATTTACATACAACCAAGACATGTATATTATAATTTGATATAGTTGTGAAAGTTTCCACTTAGTTTTGTGAGCAGCTACAATGGAAAGGAAATATCTGAAGTGTAGTTTTATTCAGCTAATTTAATGCATACTTTGGCAACTGGGGTGCAAAATAAATGTCAGGATTTCAGCCAAATTTTTTATTTGAAGTTACTTTTTTCAGGTTAAACTTAACAATTATACACAATTGTACATAAGCAAATGAGACATAAGCAAATGAGGCTTTGCCATAACAAAAAACACAGAATGAAGTTTGATCTATCACACTGCATTTCAGTGATCTTTCTTCTCCCTTTCTTTAAATAATGACTTTGCTGATCTTGAGCTCAGTGCCTGGGTCATAAAGATTTAACAAGGGAACTTTTCTTCCTTTCTGTCCTCATATTTGTTAATAATTGTTTCTAAAGAGGGAACTGAGTTCCCCAAGGAACTGTGATAACATTACAAACCACACAAGCTTTTTAATTAATGGAAACCATCATGTCATTAGATGCCAGAGATGTGTTTAGCTTTGTTTTTTCCCCGAGATTCCATATGCTGTATATTTAATGGGAACTTAAAACTAGTCCTTATTTCTCTGTTAAATCTAAAAAAAATCACCTATAATGGAAATACAGTAGATGCTTTCTGCAGAAGAGGATGGAAGTTAAAATGAAAACCATTTTTATTAAGCCATACATAAAAAGTTCCTGTTCTCTATTTTTGAGAACAGGAAAGTTCCTGTTCTCTATTCTGCTTATCAAGGACATAAAATAGAAGTAACCAAGGGTTGTATTTAAACCTGTTTGATTTCAAGACAGTTACAGTCTGAAACAGATTTATCAAATGATGACGTTTTGACAACAGATGTGACTCAGTTTACCATAATTCAGTGTACTTTATTTTGTTTATATACTAAAATCTTTGATCCAAAAGCTATAAGGACCATACAGTGAGAGGATGAAACATGTACTTGTGATGTGTTAGAGCAGGGGTGGCCAACCTGTGGCTCTGGAGCTCTTCAGAAGTTAATATGCGGCTCCTTGTATAGGCTCCGACTCCATGGCTGGAGCTACAGGAGCCAATTTTCCAATGTGCTGGGGGTGCTCACTGCTCAACCCCAGGCTCTGCCACAGGCCCTGCCCCCACTCCACCCTTTCCCACCTCCTCCCCTGAGTCTGCCATGCCCTCGCTCCTCCTCCTATATTTTAAATAGGATCAATAATACAGGCCTGTACAAGTAGGGGGGAAAAAAGGCCACAAACAGAAGAATAGCCTACTACTTTCAAAGTAAGCTTCTATGTGATTAGATGCTGGTATGTGGGCTTTTGCATAACAAAACATACGATTCTGAATGGGAATAACAGAGAATAACATCCCATACAGAGAATAACATACCAGCTTTGCTTTTGGAGACTCTGATCTCAGCTCAGATTTATTGTCCTGTCTTATTGCCTCTTTTTTCTCTTTCAGTGAAATATGAAGAGCTCTACTGCTTCTCATTCAACCCAAAGTTAGATAAAGAAGAGCGAGAACAAGGATGGAAGCTTGTGAGCCTCAATGAAGAATATAATCGGATGGATGTTCCAAATAACTATTGGCAGATCAGTGATGTAAACAGAGACTACCAAGTGTGTAATTATAATTTGTATTACAGTAGATCTTAGAGGCCCCAACCAAGGCAGGGGCCTCGTGGTGTTAAGTGCTGTACATAGCATCCTAAGAGACAGTCCCTGTCCCAAAGAGGTTAGACAGAGTGGGAGAAAGGACTCATTATCTCTGTTTTACCCATGTGGAATGGAAGTACAGTAATTCCTCACTTAAAGTCGTCCCGGTTAATGTTTCGTTGTTACGTTGCTGATCAATTAGGGAACATGCTCATTTAAAATTGTGCAATGCTCCCTTTTAATGTCGTTTGGCATCCGCCTGCTTTGTCCACTGCTTGCAGGTGGGGGCTTGGAACCAGGGTGGACCGGCAGCCCCCCTATCAGCTCCCCGATCCCCTAAGTTCCCTGTGCAGCAGCTGCCCAGCAGGCTAGCAATTGTAGCTGTCCCTCCCCCCACTGCCATGTGCTGCTCCTGTCCTCTGCCTTGGAGCTGCTCCCCGAGACTCCTGGTTGCTATGCGGGATGGGGGGAGGGGAAGGGAGGAAGAGGGGGGCTGTCAGGGTGTCCCCCTCCCCCTGCTCCTGCACCCCACTTACCCCATCTTCCATAGAGCAGGGGGGACACACAACAGGGCTCAGGACAGAGGGAGCTTGCTGGCAGCAGCAGCTGAGGTCTCAGCAAGCTGATCTAATTAACAAGGCAGTGTACTTAAAGGGGAAATGCGCATCTCTCTCTCTCACACACAGCGTGTGTCTGTCTCCGATGCGCTCTTCCCTCCCTCCATTCCTGCTGCCTTGTAGAGTGTGAGAATTAACCCTTGAGGGCTCAGCCAATTGCTAGTTCATCATTTAGCAGTAAGGCATTCCCTGGGAAATATCCCACCCTCTGACTGCTCCACCTCAAACAAGCTTCACAATCATCATCATTGTGTACCAGTATTAAATTGTTTGTTTAAAACTTATACTGTGTGTATGTATATATATAATATAGTCTTTTGTCTGGTGGAAAAAAAATTCCCTGGAACCTAACCTCCTCATTTACATTAATTCTTATGGGGAAATTGGATTTGCTTAACATCGTTTCGCTTAAAGTCGCATTTTTCAGGAACATAACTACAACGATAAGTGAGGAGTTACTGTACAAGGAGATAAAGTGACTTGTCAAAATAACTTTAAGCACATGCATAGTTAAGCATATGAATGCTTTGCTGAATTGGGGGTAGTGAGTATTTTAAAAAAAAAAAATTTTTTCTACCTAATAGTTACACAAGCCATTAGTTTGAAAGAATGAATTTAACACTTTCTTACCTTGTTCATGAAATTACGTGCAGTGCTGCTGAGAAGTATTTGTGATGGAATATTATCACAATGGTCTGAGAAGTCACAAATCTTAATTCCACTCCTTTCTACCTAGCTAGTTGATGTTCCTATCCTGGCCTACATTTGTTTGAGTCAGACTTTAAAAATGTGATGAAGTAACATTAATGGAAAGAGATAACAGCCTAAACCAGTTCTGAAGTCAGCCTGTCCGTACACATCAGCTCACTCCCATTGTGCCTTGCCACTGGAGCGCACACATGCTATACAAGATCACTTGGGGTTTTGAGACCTCCTCAGAGGGGACTGTATGTTCTGCCAGAAGTTAATTGTTTTCTTTTGTTTCTAATATAAAAAGTTTGCATTTATTATATAATTGTGGAAATAGTATGATAGAAGACTTAATTTAGGGCAGGGGCTCTCAACCTGGGGATTACAACCACCCCTGGGGATGGGGATGGTGTTGCAAACAGGTATCAGGGGTTGTGTCCACCCTTCATTTCCTAAATGATAAGGGAGAAGGAGAGAGAAACAGGTGGGACCTGGTAAGGAAGAGGTTGAAAACTTCTGGTTTAGGGCAAATGTAGGGGTTAATGTGACACAGCCTTAAATGTAAGGGATCAGAATGAGCCACAGAAGGAAGGATGAATCATGAAATGTTATAGAAAAACAAGGGAAATTAGACACCAAAAGCACTGAAAATGTTTTATCTAGATGGATCGTAGAAGGGAAGAAAAGGGTAATGAAGGCAGGATAAGGGAGAAAAAGGAGGAAAGACTACACAGAAGGAAGAGACAAAGTAGTTATTTTTATTATTTAATATAAAGTAATATACATTATAAATAAATGTTTTTCATATATACATACATAAAAATCAGTCACATTTTTTCATGTCCCTGAAACAGGCCTAAATCTGATCTCACTTAATCAAAAATAACTCCATTGGAGCCAGTCTTCATTGGTGCAAAACCAATTTCTCATGTGACAATGGCAAAGAATTACAAGAATTCAGTGCTCTCTTCCAACACTGAAAAGGGAACTCTATTAAAATAGCATCCAAAAGAAATACCTTAAAAGAACATTAAGGTTGCAAAGTCAAGCCCTCGCATGTTAGGAAATGCCAGTATTAAGGTAGCATGCATAACCTCCGGTCAGCCTCCCTTATGTGTCTAATTACATGATCACATTTTTTCCATAGGCCAATGCTCAAACCACTGAGCTATTGTCAGGGAATGAGTAGTTATTAAATATTTCTTTTTCTCCTCAGTCAGCTTGTGCCCCCAGATATTAACCACACAATATCCAAACCCAGCACTGAATATACAGTTATTAATATCCTCTTGGGTGTTTCTGTGGTGCTCATGATACTATCAGAATGCTTCACAACTATTAATTAATCTTAGCACCCCAGTGAGAGTAGTTGGTATTTTTATCCCTATTTTACAGCTGGAGAACTGTAGCACAGAGAGAGAGATTTAGACCCAAAGTTGTCAAGTGTCCATCAATTTTGGATGCCTAATTAGAGATGCTAAGGAACTGATTTTCTAGAGAATTTAGCATTTTGATTGCACTTTTTATATTCAAAGTACAGCTCCTGGTGACTTCAGCTGCAGCTGTGAGCACTTAGCACTTCTGCAAATCTCATCTCAGGTGTCTCATGTTGGGCACCCAAAAATGATGAACATACAGTTAGTCACTGACTGAACACTTCAGTTTAAGTGGCTTGCCCAGCATCACCTAGGAACTCTGTGGCAGAGGCCAGATTCCTCAGGACAGCATTCAACTGCATAACCATGAGTCAACCGGGAAGAGAAAAGACAATTTCCCTGCACACCTTCCAAATTCTGCAACTGATGAGACGGGGTCCTACAGACAATACTCTTCTTTACTACACAATCCTGATTCATTCCCAGAACCCCTGTTCATCCTGTGTACTGAAATAGGCACACAGTTATTGGATACATGAATATATAGCACTCCACCTTTTTCTGTTTCAGTTTTACCATCTGTAAATTGGGATAATGATGATAATTTCCTATCTCCTAGAGGTCCTGTGACAGTCTGTCACATGGTGAACACACCATCATCGCACTGCCTCATGCCAGAACTTGGCATTGCAGGCCTTCTTTTGTTCTTGTACTGCCTTTTCCACTGTTCTGGTTCTGCAGTAGTCTGCAGCTTCCATGGCCGGGCCCTCCTGCCTGGTCATCTTTCAGTTCAGTCTCCTTCTGGGGTAACAGAAAAGTCCAGACAGAAAACCCAGAATCTTTATGCCAGGCCCACGGCCCCCAGCCATTATTCAGCTGTCTTTGCCTCTTTCAGTCCCAAGACTTGTACCTTCCCTATTGCTGGGGAAGGAGAACCGAGGCCCACCTTCTCCTCTTGGTTCCAGCCCAGGAACCCTGTGTTAGGCAGCTAAGGACCACTCCTGCCAATCTTTTGCCACTTCCCTGAGCTGCTCCTCTTTCCCCCCATATTTGTCCACCTCTCTCTCTGGCCTACAGCCTCCATTACTTCCACCCTGGAGTTTTGTCTCTTTGTGTCTTTCTCCCAGCCTGCTGCTGACAAGCTTCCTTAAGGCCCTACCCAGTTTCTTTGGCAGCAGCTAGGTTGAACTGCAGACAGCCAACTTCTCTCTCCTTAAGACTGAAGCCCAACCTTCTTCTAGAGATGGGGTTGTACTTCAAACAATCTTTCTGGTTTCTCCTCCTTAAAACAGGAGCCCCTCCCCCTCTTCTTAGAATCAGGGTTTCGATTTAAACAAGCTGTAGGGCCTCAGCTAGCTTCTCTTTCAACTAGCCTCCTTTCCCCCAGTCAATACTCAAAGGATTCAGCAGACAACCTCTTCTTAGTGGTGTCTCCCTTGCTACGAAGGAGGAGACAGCAGATATACTAGTCCCCTTCCTAAAGCTCATCCCAGTTGGCTGAGAGAGAGGAGAGCCTTGCGCCGTCCACTCTGCAAGGCTCCTGGTCCTAGGCCCTTAAAGAAACAGTAATGGGATTTCCTTCCAAACACTCCTTATTTCCAAACCACTTTCTTTCTACCAGTATCTGCTTGGTCCTTGTATATATCAGGCCTTCCAAAATATTAAAGGACCATGCCATGTGGTGGGGGAAGGTTAACTCTGAGGCCCCTCTTCCATTAAGGGGACAGACTACCCTGTCACAGGGGCATAATTAATGTTTGAAACACTTTAGGATCCTCAGAATGAGGGTGGTGTGTAATTGTGATTTTGTTTTTGTAATGGTGATGATTAAAGTTAACATTCATGCTAAGTTCTATTTAAATAGACAAAGTAAGCAAACAAACAGTTTCCTTTGGCAGGTCTGTGATTCATACCCTACTGAAGTGTATGTACCAAAATCTGCAACTGCACACATCATTGTGGGGAGCTCTAAATTCCGGAGCAGAAGACGTTTCCCAGCCCTTTCCTACTACTGTAAGGATAATAATGTAAGTGTGGACCTGTGTTTTGGGGTGAGAGGGTGTGAGACCACCTGGCCTGTAACCCTGGTGCCTTAAATGCTCTGCTGCTGTAGCTCACAGCCTGGACACCAACAGTTACCCAATAAGCATGTAGTTCCCTGACCCTGCTGGTGGTTGCTATTCTGCAATTTATCTCTTCCTGATGCAACCTCCAATACAAATGAATAGCCCATTGAATTTGGCCACGCCTGGTTTGAGGTGTTGGACTCTTTCCATTGTCTGGACAAACCCGTTTATCAACTCCTCCTGACATGCCTGGTTTAAACACCTTTTAGTCACAGACTTTAAAGCATAATATCAGTGAGCATCCATAATTTCACATACAGCATTGTTTCATATATTTTACAATGATACTATTGACCAGAATGTTACTAGTTTTCAAATGGTATTTCACAAGGCATATTCTGTACAAAAATCATTGCAGTAATATGTAGGGTGTGAATACAGGGGTGCTGACAGACACAACAACATTAAATTATTAATATTCAGCTACATTTAATTAATAATATTGCTCTATTCTTCCTGTTAATTGAACATGTAATGGCGCTATTTTGTTCATTTCCTAGTGATCTGTTTTGTAAATAACTTTGTGTAGTAAATTATTAATGCACATTAAACACATGGGGGGATGTTATTTGTTTTAATGCAGGCCTCAATCTGCAGGAGCAGCCAGCCCTTGTCTGGTTTCAGTGCTCGGTGCCTTGAGGATGAACAGATGCTACAGGCCATCAGAAAGGCAAATCCAGGAAGCAATTTCATGTATGTTGTTGACACTCGGCCTAAAGTAAGTATGTTACAATTCTGGCACAGATTTAACAATACCACGTATGTGTTGCAAAGTCAGAGAAAATACAAAAGTCCAAAGTATGGTGGCCACTAGGGGCTAGATTCTAGTCTCAGTTGCTTCCAGGTAAATCCACAGTAATGCCGCTCTGTAAAGTTACTCTGGACTTACCTTTTGAGTCTGAACTCCAGGTTATAAACCTTTGAAAAATCACAGTTCACACATTCTCTGTAGAGACTTGCTAGAGCTTAACAGCTCAAATCCCCAAGATTCTATCTGCAGTGAGCATCCTCTATCCCAGGGGTAGGCAACCTATGGCATGTGTGCCAAAGGCGGCACGCGAGCTGATTTTAAGTGGCACTCACACTGCCTGGGTCCTGGCCACCGGTCCGGGGGGCTCTGCATTTTAATTTAATTTTAAATGAAGCTTCTTAAACATTTTAAAACCTTATTTACTTTACATACAACAATAGTTTAGTTATATATTATAGACTTAGAGAAAGAGACCTTCTGAAAATGTTAAAATGTATTACTTGCACATGAAACATTAAATTAGAGTGAATAAATGAAGACTCGGCACACCACTTCTGAAAGGTTGCTGACCCCTGCCTATCCCCTCACAGCTCCTAGTGCTGACCAGACTCTGCATGTACCATCCACACAGAGCGACTGAGCCTCCTCCATCCCCTCACAACTCCTACCTGTGACTGGACTGAGCATATGCCATTCCAACTGAGTGACTACTCATGCGCCAGCCCAGAGCTAAGGGGCTCAGAAAGACTTTCTCAGTAATGGCTGCTCACAGATGCTCCAGGCCAAGGTGGGGCCAGGCACTGGTACTGAGAGCAGGGAGCCTACCTCTCCTGGGCTTGCAATAGTGACCCCCAGACAGTGTGGAGAAGGAAAAGATCTGATTCAAATTCAGAGTGGACAAAAGCTGAGTCGAGGGCATTGCAGAGGATGGCGGGGGGTATATATTGGCACAAGGAGCCTGGGAGGCAGAGACTGGTACTGGCTGGGCAAGGAGACTGGGACCTAGGTGAGGTAGGGAGGCTAGGACTGGCTAGGTAGGAAGGCTGGGAGGGGAGGCTGGCACTGGGAGCCAGGGGAAGCAGGAGGCTGGGACTGGTTGACCAAAGAAACCATTGGGAACTGTGGTAGGGAGATGGGGATTGGAAGCTGTTGGGGGAAATGGGGTTGGGATGATTTTTTGCAAGGTTGTTTGTTATTGCTGAGAGACTACTTTGTTTGTGTTAGGGAGAACACTCATGTCTAATTCAAAAGGAGAGAGAGATTTGAATTCAACGGATTATTTATATCCTCATAGCAAGGCAAGCTGAGGACTGTCCTAAAAGAACACTGTCCAGATGCAACTTTTTTTACGTTGTTCACTGACACTAAAAGATGAGCAGATGGGCATTTAGTGCACTTGGTAGAAAATATTCTGCCTGCTTCTTTTTTTAAATATATACATTGCAAGTTAAAAGAGGTTTCTGTATTAGAGATCTGGGGTTAGATTCACAGGACACGCAACTACCCCTTTAGGCTGCTAAGTCACACATTTAGGTGCCATTCTGGGGCACAATGATTAGGGGGACAGGGCGATCCCTGTCTCTTTCATGTGAGGGGAGGAGAGAAGGCCTGGAGTGGGGTGAAGGCTCCATCTTCTCACGCTGCCACCTCCTCTTTTGCTCCTGGGCCTGCTCCAGAAGGAGAGATTGTGACTTGGTTAGGATATGATGGTAGGTAACCTGGCGGAAAAACGCGCTTCTTAGGAAAATTCTAGTTGTGCCTCTGCACCACTGGCATTCACAAAACCTTTGCTCAGCTGCTGTCTAACCCAGCAGGTGCCTAAGTTTCCACTGCTGAAGTCTTATAGGTGCCAATTTCTGCCAATGGGCATGGTCAAAGTCCCTAAATCCTGACAACACCAAGCTGCTCTGAGCCTAACTCATAAACCCTGGCAGGATTCATAAACTAGGGATTCCCCTGTATGTGTCACCTGTGGGGCCCAAATCAGTAGACATGCTCAAAGTACATCTAACCTGCATAAAAGGCAGAGGAGGAATTGGAACCCACACCTTAGCCCACTCGCTAGAATACCCAGTGGTTAGCGCACTCATCCAGGATGTGGGTGACCTAGGTTCAAATCCCTCCCTGTTCTGGAGCAGAGATTGGAATCCAGGTTTTGGATGAGTGCTCTAACCACTGGGATACTAGATATAAGGAAGTGGCATCACTGCTATGTCCCCATAGTTTTTTCACAAGAAAGGGCTGGCTTAGGCACCCAGCTTTGGGAGAGGGCTCACAGCTGTGAATCCCAAGTGGAGATAGGTGCCTCCCTCTGACTAGGACCTAGGCATCTTACTTCCTTTGAGAGGCAGGGCCACCACCCTAATGGCCATCTGACTAGAGAACCATTCCTGTATGCCTGCCCTGGTACCATTTCTTGAGTACTGAAATATCATACTATTGTAAATTTTAGAAGGTACTAATGAATGTAGAAAATGAATCGTGTGTATAGAGCGGCTCCCATCTTAGAAATCTGGTACTCTGGTGGAATGAGGACTGCAAATTAGCAATCAAGGAAGGAAATAGGGCATACAAGCAAGCAAAAAACTCAATGAATAGTAAAAAGTTAATGAATTATAAAAGATGTAAGGCGGTGTCACAAATGATTATCAAAAAGCCGAAAAAGGAAAGCTGGAGAAATTTCTGTGGGAAATTGAACAAAGATTCAAAGCTTTCAGAAATATATAAACAAATTCAAAGTGAATGGATTTCAAAGTAAAAGTAAATATCTATCTGGTTTTACTGTAAGCAATGAAACTGAGATCTTCAACTTAGGAAAGGCAGACACTTTAGCAAAAGAATCCCAAAAGGCCAATAGTGATATGAATCAAAACAACGAGTTTTGTGGGGGGGGGGGGGGGGGAGGGAAAGGAGGTTTACTGAGGATAACAGTGATCTATTATAAGGCTGGAGGATCTATAGTGATGATGTGTTAAACAAAAAGTTTAGTGTGTAGGAGCTTATTGCAGCCATTAGAAACAGGAAAAATACAGCTCCAGGTAAAGATTGAACACTTGTCAGAAGGGAGCCTTAAGATTCTATTGTGGTTTTGTTATAATGATATTTGGGAAAAAGGACTGCTGCTAATAGAATGGAAACAAGTATTGGTGTTATTAATTAGGAAACAAGGTGTAAAACCCTGTGGGATTATAATCTGGGACTATTGGGGGTGTGGGCTAATGATGCTGCTACATTACCATTGAAAGTTTAGGGGAGACTTTTGCTGGAGGATCCTGTGAAGCTGGGCACTGCAGGAAGTACCACCCAGCAGGGCCTGAGTGGCGGCCCCTGAAGCCCATTGATTGGCTCATGCTGGTATATAAACAAGGAAGCTAGTCTAGAGAGTGGCCTGAACAATGATGCAAACTGCCTGCTTGCTTCTGCTATAGACCCTGCTTTGTTGTGGACCCTAGACTCTGGCTTCTGTCACTGCTTTGTCCCTGACTTTGCTATTTGCCTGCTGTCTGTAAGCTGGTGCGTGACCCTTACTTCCTGGTATCCTGATCCAATTTGATCCTGATCCTGCTACAGAGAAACAAAAAAGCAGAAGGACCAAGAATTTTATGATAATGGTCTTCCTGGACATTGAAAAAGCATTTGACAAGCTATGGAGGGAAGGCCCCCTATATAAACTAAACACACTTGAGTAAAAGAGAGTATTTCAGTGGATAAGGGATTTTTTAAAGAACTATACAAATTAAAGTTGGAACAGCTTTATCAAAAATGTACAGGCTTACAGATGGAACTCCACAAGGCAGTATTATCAGTCCACTTTATTTTCTGTTATGATGTATGACTTCCTGGAAAGTGTGCAAATGGGAGTAGGTTTTTCCCTTTTTGCAGACAACTATGCTATATGGATTAAATATAAAAGACTTAAAGTAGCTATGGAAAAGACAAATCCGGTACTCCAGAGAATTTCCAAGTGGTGAAATGATTGGGGATTTGAATTCTCACTTGTAAAAACGAAGGAAATGCTTTTAACCGGAAAGAAAATTAGGGAAGAATAAGACTTACAATGGAAAAAATTCAGATACACCTCTACCCTGATATAACGCGACCCGATATAACACGAATTCGGATATAATGCGGTAAAGCAGCGCTCCGGGGGGGGCGGGGCTGCACGCTCCAGTGGATCAAACCAAGTTCAATATAACACGGTTTCACCTATAACGCAGTAAGATTTTTTGGCTCCCGAGGACAGCGTTATATCGAGGTAGAGGTGTAGTTCAAAAGTTTATGTACCTAAGAGTAGTGTTTTGATAATAAATTAACTTGGAAAGGTCACATAGATAATACCATGTAAAAGTAGGATGAACTTACAGGTGTAGCTCAAAGCAAATGGGGTACAGAAAAGAAGGTATTCATGATGTTCAGAGCATTGATAAGACCAGTTTCAGACTACAGATGCCAAGCTTTGTTTAGCCTCAAAAACAATTCTTAAAACCTTGGAAGTGCTCCATGCCCAAGATCTGTGATTGACACATGGCGCAATGTAACACCAGTGTGTGTGCTGCAAATAGCCACTGGAGAGCACCTATAAAATTAAGAATGAAGCTAGTAGATCTAATCTTTTGGACAAAGATAAAAGGAAATCTTGAAAACAGAAAAACTTAAAAGATTTATGAAGATTGCTAGGAACTTAGTAGACAAAATTATACGGATTGTCTCGACTTCCTCATACTATCAGGCCAAAAAATGGGTAAAGGAATTATATAGAAAGAAAAATTGAGAGAACTAAAAAATTTTAATAATGGAAAATCAAATTACAGATGGACAATAATTCACCCATATGTGAATATGGAACTGTATGGAAAAAACAGAGAAGGAAAAACCACACATTATGACTAAGGCTGCGATTCCGTGACTTTCTGTGACTTCTGCAGCAGCTGGTGCTGGCTCAGGGGGTGCTCCCTGAGGTCAGCAGCAGCAGTTTGGGTGTGTGGGAGAGGGCTTGGGGCAAGGGGTTTGGGGGTGCTGGGGGGCACTTACCTCGGGGTGGGCAGCTCCCTGGCTTCCACTGGCATGGCTCTGCAGCTCCTAGGTGGCAGAGGGGCCAGAGGGCTCTGCACACTGCCTGTGTTTGCAGGCCCCGCCCCCGCAGCTCCCATTGGTTGCAGTCCCCAGCCAATGGGAGCTGCACAGCAGGTGCTTGTGGAGGGAGCAGCGCACAGAGCCCCCTGACCCCTCCACCGCCTAGGAGCTACAGGGACATGCGGAGCCGGGTACGGAGACACCCCGCCCTCCCCAGCACCAGTGAGGGTCCTGGGCTGCGCGTCGCTGCCTGCCCCCCACACCCAAGCACCAGCAGCCCCTCCCCAAAGTTTTAGTTAGGGGTATATACTAAAAGTCATAGACAGGTCACGGGCCGTGAATTTTTGTTTACTGCCTGGGTCCTGTCCATGACCTTTACTAAAAATACCCGTGACTAAATGTAGCCTTAATTATGACCAATCAAATTTTTGAATTTATTTATGAAAAACTGGGCCAGCTTTGCCAAGTCTATGCAGACAGATCAAAAGCTGATAGCATGGGTAGAGTGGGAAAAGCCTTCTGTGTTCCTAGTCAGAATCCAGAAATCTAAAAGGCTATTGAATTATGTGACTGTTCTGATAGCTGAACTAATGGTGGCAGTAAACCTGTGTTGGCACTAATCTGGATAAGAGATGTGCATCCAGCTGCAGCTGTAATTTTAACTGATTCCTTCTCAGGATATAATGATAATCAGAACAAGGTCTTCAGAAAGCAGAAATGACATAAGTGAAATAATGTTCCTAACTATGGAAGAAATGCGAGCAGGTATCTGTAATAACAGCATGGATTCTGGTTGTATTGGAATTCCTGACATGAGATGGCTGACAAAACAGCAAAACGTGCTCTACAAAATAAGGAGGTGCATATTAAGATACCCTTAAGCACACAAGAATTTAAAAGTGTGGTCACGAAGGAGCCTGCAAAGAAATGGCAAGAACTATGGACTAAGGAGGAACGGGGGGAACTGAGGGGGACGGGCACAAAGTTTTTGTGATGTAGGCTCAAATTGAAGATACTACTGTACTCCACCGCCATGATAGAAAAAGTGAAGTAGTCATTTTTAGAGTGTTAGCAGGTCATTGTGCCTTAAATGATAGGTTTAACTTATTAAAAAAGACAGTGTGCACAACCAAAGAAACTGTGGATCATGTTCTATGGCAGTGTAGTGGGCCATATTTTATGGAAAGAAAGTCTCAGTATGAAAAATTGACTTGGCTTGGAATCAAAGATTTTTTCCCTACAGGGACTAGTGAGAATGCTAGAGAAATGTAATAGTTATTCCCCCCGCCCGCCACAAAAAAAAGCTTTGCTGCATTTTCTTAAGGATGCTAGAATGAGTGAAAGGATATTTTAAAAAACAAAAACAGACTTTGGCTTAAAAATAACGAAGACGGTAGTGGTCATAGCCTCGTATGATGAGACTGCTGGGCCAAAAAACAAACAAAAAATAAGTTGGGGAGAGAGACTGTAGGAAGTAGGTTGCATCTTGTGGTAGTCCTTAGAGTAGGGAGAGAGATGGAAGAGGAAAGGCAACTGGGTGTCTGTAGGAACGTGACCCATAAATTCCTCAATGCCAGCTGGCAAGGGGGTAACCAGAATATCCTGATATTGGTGTGTACATTCTAGTTCACTAAAGAATATCATGTGAGGTCTTAAATGAAAGCCAGGATCACACTAGTTGTTAATATCATTGTAAAATGTATGTACAGATACTGTGTATGGAGATATGTATGTATACTAAAATATGTTCCTAAAGTCTATATTGAGGCAGAGTTGACAAATGGGTTTCTGCCAGACAAAGGATGTTTATTCACCTGTCCCTCTCAGTCAGTGTGTAAATTAAGCACTGTACGCCAACACAATGGAAGCTCCATTTACATACAAAGTTGATGGGAGGGAGCACACTGGAGAATGAGCTATGTGGGGTCATTCTGACTCAGAGATACAAACAACCAACTTTGGAGAATATAAGGAGAAGGCAAGGAAAACACCCCTTTATCCTGCACCTAGGACATAATCGGGCAGTGTGATTACATTCCTGAAGATGGGATTACAACCAATCTTGGTTGAAACACTGCAACCTCCCCAAGCTTCAAGAAAGTGTGTTTTGTTAACTCTCTGGTACGTTGGGCAAACTAACTCTAGCCATGGAAGATTAATGATCAGGGAAGTATTAGTATACTTATAAACATGAAGCAGTGGAGTGGTCAATAGGATACTTCTGGTTATATTCTACAGTTAAAGGCAATATTCAGTAATTGATAAAAAAATAAAATTTAGTCAGCTGTGTAAGAAAAAATAAAACCCATGACCTTGCAGTAATGCCCTAGAGAAACATCTGTGTGGTATATGCGCTCAGCTCCAGCTGTGAACCTGAATCCCACAGCATTAGGGACAGAGATGAGAACCATAATAACACAATATAATCTGATGTAACTAAATGGGTCCATGATCTCAATCTATTTAAACAGTTATATTGTGCATGGAAACCATTCTAGCTTCTGCATGCTGATACTGTGATAAGATCTTAACATTTATTGTTGATTTAAATCACTCTGTATTGCACAGCAATACATCATCTTTGTATCATATGAAAATACTTATAAATCGTAAGAATATAAAGTGTCAACGGCAGGACCGGCTCCAGGGTTTTTGCCGCCCCAAGCAGCGGGGGGGAAAAAGAAAAAAGCCGCGATCGCAATTGCTATTGGCGGCACTCCAGCAGCAGCTCCACTGCACCGCTTTCTTCTTCGGTGGGAATTCGGCGGCAGGTGCTTCCCTCTGAGAGGGACCCGCCGCCGAATTGCCGCCGAACAGCCCGATGTGCCACCCCTTCCCCTTGGCCGCTTCAAGCACCTGCTTGCTGGGCTGGTGCCTGGAGTCGGCCCTGGTCAATGGGATGGTTCTTGATGGTGGTTGTTTTCATGGGATTTGAGAGAATTTCTTATATTGGATGCCTTTTGCCTTTTCCTTAAGATATCTTTGAGAGTAAAAAATATCAATTTCCTTAGCATATGAATTGTCCTGAATGGTCCATGTAGTCTGAAACCAATCTGTGCTGCTAGCCAATCCAATTATAGGGTGCAGAGGAGGAAATCTTCAGGGAGGGAAAGGAAGGGGGAAGAAAAGATTTGGGGAAGAGAGTGGGGCTGGGCAGAAGAGTATTCAAGACAAAGTGGAAGTGTGCCTGGGACAATGGCAGCATAGCACAAGACTAGGCTGGGCCTGGTTTCCAATGTGAATGGGGATGCTTTAGATGGGGGTCTGTGAGGTATACTTGGATGATAGTGCTATGGTAGCTATGAAAGACAGGAAAAAAGGTGCCTGTATGTCTTCCTCTCTCCCTCTTCTGCCAATTGGCAAAGTTAAGTGTATGTATTTAACTTAACTTTGCCTTCTCCTGACTCTTAAGTGCTTAACTATGCAACTTTAACATTCCTAGGCTTGTTTGAAAATGAACACAAATGAATGATAGGGTTTCAGCAAGATCCCAATAGTCTATATACAAATGGAGCTTATACACAAACAAGGATCAGCCTCTCTGAACTACAACTTGTATAGACCATTCTTTTAGTCCTTAGGGCCTAGCTAAATCCTAGGTGTTTCATGCCATAAGGATGAGCCAGGAGGAGGGAATGTTTCTGGCTACAGTGGGAGGGCTGGGTTGGGACTATTGGGAAGAGCCACTTCAGATCCAACCTGTCGCCACCCGACTAGGAACCCTGTCCAGCCTCCCTCAGCTACTCGTTTAGGCTAAGAACCAGCATGGCACCTGTGGTGCATGTCTAGAGGTCAGGCGAGAGAAGGGAAGAACTGGCATGGACACCAAAATGACTCCATGAGGCTGTTGGCCCACTAGAATGTGGGACTCTTCTGGCATTCGGGGTTCAGAGGTTTGGAAGGGGCTCATTTGTGTTAGGGAAAAGAGAGTCAAGAAGCAGGGAGAGAGGTTGAACCCTTGATGACAGAGGGTAAGAGGAGTGTATTGCCTTGTGAGTGTAGAACCCTCAGGATGTTGCATACTCATCCCCACAGGGTTAAATTGCAGTACTGTACTCTCCTCTGCCAATGTCTGATTTGATTGGTGTTTAAAATGCTGAAATTCTAGCAGCTTCGTTCAAGGTGACAATGTTGGTACTAGACAGTGTCTGTCCAATTAGGAGTGATTGCATAAAAGCCTTTAAGGCAGTGGTGGGCAACCTGCGGCCTGTGGGCCGCATGTGGCCCATCAAGGTAATCTGCTGACGGGCCGTGAGACAGTTTGTTTATATTGACCATCCGCAGGCACGGCTGCCCGCAGCTCCCAGTGGCCGTGGTTCGCTGTTCCCGAACAATGGGAGCTGTGGGAAGTGGCGGCCAGCATGTCCCTGCGGCCTGCGCCATTTCCTGCAGCTCTCATTGACTGGGAACGGCAAACCACCGCCACTGGGAGCTGCGGGCAGCCGTGCCTGCAAACGGTCAATGTAAACAAACTGTTTTGTGGCCCGCCAGCAGATTACCCTGACGGGCCACGTGTGGCCTGCGGGCTGCAGGTTGCCCACCACTGCTTTAAAGGTTGAAGCACCCTTCTAAAAAGGTGTAGCTACTAGAGTACACAAGTAAAATGAGAGTATTCAGTTACAAGCCTTGAATTTTTAAATAATAGCTTAATTAATCCCCTTTTCTTTTCTTCACTACAATAGACTGAGAGTTGTCTTTTGAGCATGACCTGTTTCCTGCTCTCACCCAGTCTTTTTTTTTTTTTTTTTTTTGCAGCTCAATGCAATGGCAAACAGAGCAGCAGGGAAAGGATATGAGAATGAAGACAATTACTCCAACATCAAGTTTCAGTTCATTGGTATTGAGAACATCCATGTTATGAGGAGCAGTCTGCAAAAAATGCTAGAAGGTAAAACTTTTCTTGATATCGATATACAGAGAGGTGGCCTAATTCTTCTGTCACGCAGGTGTAAATCCAGAGTAATTTTCTTTGAAGTCAGTTGTATTTCACTTGTAAAACAGGTGAGAGAGGAGAATCAGGCCTATTGATATTGTACAGTGTATATCTCCCTGTTTGCTAAAACACTTGTGCCACATATCATCATCCAAAGAAAAATATTCTCTTGATTACAACAGTGTCTTACTTTCAGTGATATTTCACCAATATTATTTTTCTTATGTGGTTTATAACTTGGCTGTTTAAAAAAAAACCAGTTTGAATTGAAACTCAGGTAGAGACAATTTTTAGGCATTTCTTTAAATAAAAAAAAATCACCATGGCTTAGATATTAGTGGACAATTTATGTTCGGGTTTGAGCTCGTAAAGCACAGGGCTTTGATTTTTTTTTTAAATTTCATTGGCAAATGGGGAGTTCATACCTTTTATATCGTAAACTCTAACATAAACCCTTCTTATGTTCTGTACAGTGCAAGTCATATGAGGCCTGATTGTACAACTCTTAGTCACACGGGTGCAACCCTCAGACACACACACACACACACACACACACACACACACACACACAAGTAATCCCATGGAAACTACAGTAATTCTCATGTAAATCATCACCAATGTCAGTAAGGATTACCCTGCCCATTATTGTTATTATTATTTAATATTTGTATTACATTAGTGCCCAGAGGCCCCAATCATAAAAATGCTCCATTGTGCTAGGTGTTATACAAATATATAAAGACCCCATTCCTTCCCCAGAGTTGGTGCTTAACTAATACATAATAGTCTGTTCCCCAAATCTAGTTCTCTGTATTTGAATTTTTTGACTGTCTGATTTTGGGTTGTGTTTTGGAAAAGATAAGCCAAATGTGTACGGGCATGTCTACACTGGCAAAGTTACAGCACTGGGAGTTACAGCGCCGCTCAGAGAGCGCTGAAGGGAAGCCGCTGTTATGTGGTCACACTGTCAGCTGCCTGCGCAATAGCGTCTTCACACTTGTGGCACTTGCAGCGGTATTCGGAGTGGTGCACTCTAGGCAGCTATCCCACAGAGCACGTCTTTCTCTTCTGCCACTAAGAGTTGTGGAAAGGTGGAGGGGGTCGCGGGGCATCCTGGGTCCTTTCCCAGTGCCCCGTAATGCATTGCTTCATATTGCAGCAATCCCTGTGCTTCCGTCCGCATTTGGCACCATCTTTCAACGGTTTGTGTTTTGCGCGCCCTGCCTCTTCGGGTTGCAGGAATGGATCCCAAACTGTTGACCAGTATGCTGCTTGCTCTGACCAACATGTCACGAGTGGCAGTGGAGTTATTCCTTAAACTACAAAGGCAAGAGGAGTGCGACATTGATTTCGCCACGCGTAGTAGCTACGACACAAGATTGCTCGTGGCATTCATGGAGGTGCTGACCACAGTGGAACGCTGCTTTTGGGCTCGGGAAACAAGCACTGTGTGGTGGGATCACATCGTCATGCACGTCTGGGATGACGAGCAGTGGCTGCAGAACTTTTAGATGAGGAAAGCCACATTCATGGGACTGTGTGATGAGCTTGCTCCAGCCCTGCGGCGCAAGGACACGAGAACAAGAGCTGCCCTGCCATTGGAGAAGCGCGTGGCGATTGCACCGTGGAAGCTGGCTACTCCAGACTGCTACCGATTGGTCACTAACCAGTTCAGTGTGGGAAACTCAACGGTTGGACTTGTGTTGATGGAAGTCTGCAGGGCCATTAATCGCATCCTGCTTTGAAAGACACTGACTCTGAGCAACATGCTTGACATTGTGGATGGCTTGGCTCAAATGGGCTTCTCTAACTCTGGAGGAGCGATAGATGGCATGTATATTCCAATTCTGGCACCAGACCACCTACCCACTGAGTACATTAATTGCAGGGGTATTTCTTAATGGTTTTCGTGGATCAGTGTGGGCTTTTCACAGATATTAATGCAGGCTGGTCTGGAAAGGTGCATGACGCACGCATTTTTTGGAACACTGGCCTGTTCAGGAAGCTGCAAGCAGGGACTTTCTTCCCGGCACAGAAGATCACCATAGGGGAAGTTGAAATGCCCATTGTGAACCTGGGAGACCCCGCCTACCCCTTAATACTGTGGCTTATGAAGCCATTCACAGGGCAACTTGACAGCAGCAAGGAGCGGTTCAACAACAAGCTGAGCAAGTGCAGAATCACCAGTGAGTGTGCTTTTGGCCGTTTAAAAGCCCGCTTGCAATGCCTCTATGGGAAGCTGGACCTGGCCAATGACAATATTCCTATGCTTATATCTGGGTGCTGTATGCTCCATAATATTTGTGAAGGGAAGGGTGAAAGTTTCACTCAGGGCTGGACCGCAGAGGCTCAGTGCTTGGAGGCTGAGTTTGAACAGCCAGAGACCAGGGCTATTAGAGGGGCGCAGCGTGGGCCCATAAGGATCAGGGGTGTCTTGAGGCAGCAATTTGAAACCAAAAGCCACCAATATTTGTTGCTATGCTCGGGAGTGCAGTGCTTGCAATGCTAGGAGATGATTGGTGCAGACAATGCAATATGTGGGTTTAACATAATTGTATGTTGCTTTGCGGGGCTCTTTTTGCTTTCAATTAAAGAATAAAGATTCCTTTCAAACCAACACAATTCTTTTATTAAAAAACAATAACCGGAGAGAGTTAAACAAAAACAACAACAAACCATCAGCAGTGAGGGTGATGGGGCAAGGGAAGGTCCCAGGAGGAGGAGGGGTCCCAGGACGGCTAAAGATTTGTGTATGTCCAGGGGTCATATCCAACCTTCTCCTTTGGAGTACAGTGCAGCGGGTATTGTACTTCAGCAGGGCCAAACTGCAGAGGGGTGGGTGTTGAGTGCAATGGGTACTGGGAGTCCGCAGGGCTGGACTGTGAGGGGGGAGGAGTGGTACAGACTGGAGCCAGGAGGTTGATAAGAGTGTGTTGGCGATGTCTGGGAGGAGCATGGGAAAGAGATTTGTGACAGTGGCTGCAGGGGAGGGTGGGTGTGGAGCTGCTCGGTTTGAAGAGCTAGTATCGCCTTGAGGGTGTCTGCTTGGCGCTCCATAACATTTAAGAGCCACTCTGTGGCTTCATTCTGGTGTGCCGCGCCGCGTTCTCCTTTTGGTCCCTCTTTCCGCTGTCCTTCCACTCCTTCAATTCCTGTTTCTCAGCGGCGGAGTGCATTATAACATCATGCAGAAAGTCCTCCTTTGTTCTTCTTGGCCGCTTTCTAATTCTGCACAGCCATTCAGCTGCCGATAACAAAGAGGGACGCTGGTCTCCCAAGATCATCTCTGTGAAGTTTTTAAATGCAACATTTTACAGAAGCAGTATTGTTTGCAACACAGAGAACACTGATTCAGTGATTTAAAACACAGCCAATACTCTCACACCTGTCACTAACTGGCTGACCCCAGGCAATTACACATGAGCCACAAGACCCCCAAATGGTGAGTAGTCACAGGGGCAGGTTAAATCTCTCTTCCCGGACCCTGCTGTACACTGGGCACGTGGTTCTTGGGGACAGCCAGCACTGTAGTGGGGGCCTGATAATCATTCCTGTCCCCACACTTTCACAGGATGTGATCATTATGGAAGATATCTTGCTGCTGAGGGTGAGCAGGGAATCAAGGGAGGGTCTTCTCCAAGCCTGCAGCTTCTGCCCTGGCCCCTATGCAGCTCGCCTGTGTGCAGCAATGGTACACCCCCTCCACCCCCTGTGACGGCACAGTGGTGTGGGAAAGTTACCGTTAATAGGGCAAGAAACAAAGCAGCTCTGCCGAGGAACCTGCGGGAGTGGATTGCCCAGTATCTCTCCGTGAGTTTCCTGGAGATCTCTGAGAGTGATTCCCGTGAAGTGAGGGAGTCAATCAACAGCCTGTTCCGCCGCTCAGACTAGGCATGCGGTGGGAGACAAGCCTGCTTTCTGCAACCCTCCTGCCCCCAACAACTCACTTCAGCAGTTCCCAAAATCAAATCCACTTACCAGGGGTCTCCTCTCCTGTCTGCGCTTTGCCAAGGTCCGACAGCTGTGACTGGCTAGCCTCCTCCAGGATAGAGAAAAGCTCTGGCTGCATGCATCTCTGGCTTCCGAGTCATCCTCTGCCTCTGGGTCCCCCTCCCCCTCCACATCCTCATCCAAGATTTCCTCCTCCTGGCTCGGTCCACTTTCGACAGGCACGCGAACCGCTGAAGTATCCAGGGTGGTCTTCGCAGTGGAGGTGGGTTCGCCGCCGAATACCGCGTCCAGCTTTTTGTAGAACCGGCAGCTCATGAGCACAGCACTGGAGCGGCGATTTGCCTCCCATGCCTTGTGGTAGGCATTCCGCAGCTCCTTCGCTTTGACCCTGCACTGCAATGTGTCCCGGTCATGTCCCCTTTCAGACATGCATCGTGAAATCTGTCCATAGGTATCATAATTCCTATGGCTGGAGCGCAGCTGGGACTGGACAGCCTCCTCTCCCCAAATGCTGATGAGGTCCAGCAGCTCAGCATTGCTCCAAGCGGGGGATCGCCTAGTGTGTGGAGCGGGCATGGCCACCTGGAAAGATGCACTGAGACCACTGCACCAAGCAAACAGGAAGGGGACTTTCAAAATTCCAAATGAATTTACGGGATGGGGATGATGGTTGGTCACCTGAGGGGAGGGCAGTAGAGTTCAAACCGATGACCAGAGAGGCGAGAACAGGCATTGTGGGACACCTCCCGGAGGTCAATCGCAGCACGGTAATTGACCAGGGTGTCTACACTGACACCACAGCGCTGTAGCCCTGGCGCAGAAAGCTGTACGCCTCTCGGGGTGGTTTTTTTACAGCACTGCAACTGTGCAGTTTCTGCACACTAAGTGGCTTAGCAGTGTGTACACCTCGAGAATTACAGCGCAGAAAGCTGCTTTACTGCGCAGAAACTTGCCAGTGTAGACAGGGCCTAAGATATACATAGATTCATAGATTCTAGGACTGG